GGATCAAGCTCCGTCTACACCATCCCTGACAGATGTCTATCTAACCTGTTCTTAAATATCTCCAGAGAGGGAGATTCCACCACCTCCCTTGGCAATTTATTCCAATATTTGACCACCCTGACAGTTAGGAATGTTTTCCTAATGTCCAATCTAAACCTCCCCTGCTGCACTTTAAGCCCATTACTCCTTGTCCTGTCCTCAGAAACCAAGAGAAACAAATTTTCTCCTTCCTCCTTGTGACACCCTTTTAGATATTTGAAAACCACTATCATGTCCCCCCTATTCTTATCAATAAACTAGGTAAATACAACTTAGATGGGGCTACTATAAGTGAGTGCATAACTGGCTGGATAACCGTACTCAGAGAGTAGTTATTAATGGTTCACAATCCTGCTGGAAAGGCATAACGAGTGGGGTTCCGCAGGGGTCTGTTTTAGGACCAGCTCTGGTCAATATCTTCACGATTTAGATATTGGTATAGAAAGTACGCTTATTAAGTTTGCAGATGATACCAAGCTGGGAGGGGTTGCGACTAATCTGGAGGATAGGGTCATAATTCAAAATGACCTGGACAAATTGGAGAAATGGTCTGAGATAAATAGGATGAAGTTTAATAAAGACAAATGCAAAGTGCTCCACTTAGGAAGGAACAATCAGTTTCACACATACAGAATGGGAAGCGACGGTCTGGGAAGGAGTATGGCAGAAAGGTATCTAGGGGTTATAGTGGACCACAAGTTGAATATGAGTCAGCAGTGTGATGCTGTTGCAAAGAAAGCAAACATGATTCTGGGATGCATTAACAGGTGTGGTGTGAGTAAGATACAAGAAGTCATTCTTCCGCTCTACTCTGCACTGGTTAGGCCTCAATTGGAGTATTGTGTCCAGTTCTGGGCACCGCATTTCAAGAAAGATGTGGAAAAATTGGAGAGGATCTAGAGAGGAGTAACCAGAATGATTAAAGGTCTAGAGAACATGACCTATGAGGGAAGACTGAAGGAATTGGGTTTGTTTAGTTTAGAAAAGAGAAGACTGAGGGGGGACGTGATAGCAGTTTTCAGATATCTAAAAGGTTGTCATAAGGAGGAGGGAGAGAACTTGTTCATCTTGCCCTCTGAGGATAGAACAAGAAGCAATGGGCTTAAACTGCAGCAAGGGAGGTTTAGGTTGGACAGTAGGAAAAAGTTCCTAACTGTCAGGGTAGTCAGACACTGGAATAAATTGCCCAGGGAGGTTGTAGAATCCCCATCTCTGGAGATATTTAAGAGTAGGTTAGGTAAATGTCTATCAGGAATGGTCTAGACAGTATTTTGTCCTGCCATGAGAGCAGGGGTCTGGACTTGATGACCTCTCGAGGTCCATTCCAGTGCTAGTATTCTATGATTCTATGAAAACTTTTAAAAGCAAATTGTTCCTTTTCAGTTAATCCTTAGCTGTTGTCTCTATTGAACCTACATAGTGACTGTATATCTGGATTCTAATATTCATAAATCGGCTGTCTTTCATGGTCTGAACTTGGCTGTGATCAGGCACTTGCAAAGAAAGCTTGAAAACGTTTTAGGTTTTGTGAGCGCATTACGGACTCACCAATACCACGAATGAGTTTGAGTACAATTAGAAGCGTGTAGGCTTTCAAGGAATAAAAAGGAAAAATTCAGCTAAGGCTGAAACGTCTATCTGGCCTGCATGATCTGTGTGTTATTTGAGCACTTAAGCTGTTCAGCACTAGCCAGAGAGAATTGAAGGCCTGGTTTCAGCCTTAATTCTGAACTTTCCTTCTCTCCCCTCTCTCATTCCCTCCCTCCCTCCTTTAAATATGGTAGATTTTAAGCAAATGATTAATATTAAACTGTTTGTGTTTCTGTCATAGTAAAAAAAAATGTGTAACGGTATATTGGTCATTTTTGTACAAGTATGTAGACATTACTACTCTACTACAAAGCATTCTAAGAGCTTGTCTCCACTTACCAGGATATTGATGCTGTGGAGATTGATCGCCCAAGTTTCCTGTTACTGTTTCTCCCTCCTCACTGACCAGTGGGCCTACCCTCTCCTTGGTCTTCCTCTTGCTTCTAAATGTATTTATAAAATGTTTTCTTGTTTCCCTTTATTCCCATAGCTAGTTTGAGCTCATTCTGTGTCTTTTCCTTTCTAATCTTGCCCCTGCATTCCTGTGCAGTTTGCCTATATTCATCCTTTGTAATTTGTCCCACTTTCCATTTTTTATAGGACTCGTTTTTTATTTTTAGATCATGCAAGATCTCGTGGTTAAGCCAAGGTGGTCTTTTGCTGTATTTTCTATCTTTCCAACAGACCAGAATAGCTTGCTTTTGGGCCCTTAACGTCCCTTTGAAAAACTGCCAACTCTCTCAGTTGTTTTTCCTCTCTCAGTCTTGATTCCCATGGGACCTTACCTATCAGTTCTCTGAGCTTACCAAAATCCATCTTCCTGAAGTCCATTGTCTCTATTTTGCGGTTCTCACTTCTACCCTTCCTTAGAATTGTGAACTCTATGGTTTCATGATCACTTTCACCCAACCTACCTTTCTTTCAGGCTGCGTCTAGACTGGCAAGCTTTTCCGCAAAATGTGCCAGCTGTCTACACTGGCCACTTGAATTTGCGCAAGAACAATGATGATATAATGTACGATCGTGAGTGTTCTTGTGCAAATACAATGACTCTCCCGCTTGGGAAAAAGCCTCCTTGCGCAAAAGCCGCAAGAGGGCCAGTGTAGACAACTGAGAACCGTTTTGCGCAAAAAAGCCCCGATGGCAAAAATGGCAATCGGGGCTTTCTTGCGCAAAACCGTTTCTAGATTGGCACGGACGCTTTTCCGCAAAAAGTGCGTTTGCGCAAAAGCATCCATGCCAATCTAGATGCTCTTTTCCACAAATGCTTTTAACAGAAAAACTTTTCCGTTAAAAGCATTTGCAGAAAATCATGCCAGTCTAGACGCAGCCTCAGTGTATCAATTCTAACTGATCACTGTGCAAATGATTTGACAGACACTATACTTTTACAAAGCTTTCCATTTCGCTGAGCTCATGTACCATCATTCATCAAGGTATTTCAGTCACAACTTGGAGTATTCTCACTGAAACAGGACTACTCAGAAACTTTAAGCCATAAGCCTAAGCTTATGCACCTTGATGAACCAAGCTTGAAGTAACCCCACTAGAAGTCCATTCAGATACTCAGTAAAACAGATCTGTATTTTATTTCCAAACATGTATAAGCATCATCTGTTTTTAGCAAATCATATTAGAAGCAAAATAACTAGTTAGCTTGATATTTGTCTTAGCATGCTGCTAGAGTGTCAGGAAATTCAAAAGTTTGAGTTCCTTCACTCAACCACATTACACATCCCCTCTCTTTTATTGCATGCCTTTAACAATTATCTTAAGCCACACAATGAAAGTGGAAGAGTAGTAGCTATGTGAAACTTGGTCGAGTTAGGAGTGAAACCTTACCTTCTGTATTCCTTGGCTTTTTAACTAGTCAACCCTGATTTTGCATTGACACGGATTTACTGGGTGCAAGCACCCACTCTCACTGGAGCAGGGGGTTCAGCGGACCCACCATTGGGGTTTGTATCTCGGGGTCCGATCCCTTGTGGCGGAGTTCGCAGGTGCGATCACCAGTTGCCGGACCCAGATAAGGGTTCTGGGGTCCTATTCGCATCCAGATTCACCCGACTCCTGGGAGCTCTGGCCTACTGGGGCAGGTAGAATAGGTTGAGAGCGGGGAGAGGGGGACCTGAGCCCACCCTCTCCACCGGGTCCCAGCCCGGAGCCCTGAGTGGAGGGATTAGCACGTTCCCTCCACGACAGGCGGGGTTGATCCCGAAACACACTGCCCACGGGCACCAGAAGTACTCCGTCCCAGGCTTTTCCACTCCTCGTCCTTTGCTAACCCGCCTGCAGACCCGACCCAGGCACTCACCCTTCCCGCGTCTTCAGCCACATCAGGTCGGTACCCTGGAGGCTGCAGTGTTGCTCCTCCGTTACTCCAACAGGGTGGAATGTTCACCTTCCTGAGCTGCTCCTAGACAGCTTGCCCGTTCGCTTTTCAAGCGGCCTGGGGAGATGTGCCGTGCGGGGAAGCCCCACCCTCCTGGCATCCTCACACTCCAGGACGCTGCGCCTGGGGTCAGGAGCTCCACCCCTCGCTTCTCCCTGAGCCACATAGCCGGAACGCCCCTCGGGCGTCTGGCCTGTGTGCCACAGCCGGGTCTGACCCTGCCTCCTATGCAGCAGGGCCGTGCGCTATTGTTAACCAATTAATCCAGGATTGTTTTTTTACATGAAAACCATAGTTCAACCAACAAGCATATATTCCATTTATGTTGTTCTATAGTTCCATACATGTACTATGTTAATGTATTTCACTTAGCTGTTACTATTCCTCTTTAGATGAGGATTTTAAAAAGACTAAGATTGGGGTTTTGTTTTGTTTTTTTTATAAAGATACACTCTAGTTCAGGAGGAATTTTAGAAAAGTGTAGGACCACTATCACATTGGAAATCGACTAGATGATGAAAGTGACCATTTCTGGCCTTGGAAGCTATAAATTGCTGTAAGCCAGGGGTGGGCAAAAAGGCCTCCACAGGCCGGATCTGGCTCACTAAGCAGGTTGATCCAGCCAGCAGAAGCCGTGCTGCTCCCAGACGAATTAGAGCCTGAGGGTGGGAAAGCAGGGAATTATCCTGGCCACACCCCTTCCACTTGTGGCTCCACCCTTTCCGGTGCAGTCCGGGGCCACTTCAAAAATTTCTGAAGTGGCCCCAGGTAAAAAATTATTGCCCACCCCTGCGATAAACTCTTGCAAAACTATAGAGTGTGCAGAAGTAGAAGTCTTGTCTTCAAATTTTATTCTGTATTTTAAAAAAACACTGATGCGGCTAACACGCATAAGGAAATCTAGCTCTAAGCGACAGCAAACATGCTGGAAACCGCTATTTTGGAAGTTGATGCTGTAAGAAACAAAACATTAACTTACCTACTGACTCATAGACGTTTTTATTCAGGTCATATGCACAGATTGCACTTGATCCATCACACTCTTGAATACCACCACAGGGATTTATTTTATAACGCACATGTTTATCAGTATCAATCGCTTCCCATGTATAACTGAAACAAAAACAAAAGAAAGTCTGTCAGTTAACACATACATTTGCAACCATTTACTCAAGATCAAACACTCATCCATGAAATATCAGATCTAACCAAAGCTAAGCAGACAATGCCATAATCTCCATAACACTGGAATCCCAATTCTAAAACCTGAATTGATGCAGTATAAGAATTCCTTCATGTTATGGACCCAGGGGGAAAAACCCAGGAAGACATTTAGCTGCTTTACTACTAACTAAAAATGCTTCCAACTCACCAGCTATCTTTGCTATCAGTAAATCTAGTAAATTTTGCTTTAAAAAACTGGCCGTTCTACACTACCAAGTTGATAGAAAATTCAGATGAGAGTCAGAAAAATGACAGGAGCTTGAGAGAGATGTTTATGAAGGAAAGACTTAGTACTAATATAGTGTGGTTAGACAAAAAGAACTGAAGGATACACAATATTTCATCTCATTTTAACAGTGAATGGATAGCCATTTACCCAAGAACAGAGTGAAGCTATGAAAATGAAGTAAAATTAAGGGGGGAAATGTAAGCAGAATGAGAAAATGTTTCCCCAACAGAGATGATCACTTGTAACACCATCAGACTGCCCCGTCATTCTCCCCTCCTCCCCCGCACACACATACAAAAACTTTCCACTTGAAGCTTTAAGAATTCAGACTGAACAAACCACTACCACATTCAAAGGAATGGCCAGCACTGGAAGTTTGATCTGGTGCAGATATTTCTCATGAATGATCACTGTGGCATTAGAGCACTTATGTCACTCAGTGTATATGTAGAGGCACATTAGCTCTTTCCCACACCTACCCCCTTTTTAGTTTCTACAGTTGAAATGAATGGAGATGCCTATCTCCTAGAACTGGAAGGGACCTTGAAAGGTCATCGAGTCCAGTCCCCTGCCTTCACAGCAGGACCAAGTACCATCCCTGACAGATTTTGCCCCAGATCCCTAAATGGCCTCTTCAAGGACTGAACTCACAACCCTGGGTTTAGCAGGCCAATGCTCAAACCACTGAGCTATCCCCCTCCATCATGGTTGAAGACATTTATCAGACAGTTGCTAGCCCTACCAATGAAAATCAAGGTCAACACCATGAGAATCCCAGCAATCTGGTCCAGCTACTGGGATTTTTACCAAAGTGCAATGGATGCTGCTTCAGGGGCTCAACTCTTGTACCAATCTCTAGTTTTGCAGGAGTTTTAATCTTTAGAAGCCATGATTCCCCTGCCCACAATGAGAATAGAATGGGAAGATTCCACACTTATTCCACACTGAAGGCTGACTGGTAGGACCAGGAAGAGAGGAGAACAAGAGAAGTTCAGAAACTGTCCCACCCTAAGGATTTTTTTTTAGTCCTCTCTCTGTGAAGATCTTCTATCTACATCACTAAAGCGTATGAAAAGCCACCCCAGCTTATCCTTTTTTGAAGCAGTCATGGGGCTTACATTACTGTTTAAAACAAGTCTAAGTGTACTAACTAGGGAACTTTCAATACATCATAGCGGGATCCATGCAGACTGTCAGGGCATGACATACAGCAGTGCTATAGATTTACTTCTAGCTTGCAGCATACTAACTTGCTATATAGACATGCCCTAAGTCACTGGGCACCAAAAAGTAGATCAGGATCTACTAGTAGATCTTGAAGCCTCTGACAAGTAAACCTGACCAGTTTGGCCAAGAGACTATCAAGTGCTGAAACTTCACCTGCCCCTTTCCTCACTGCTGCACATCTCCTGCCCTTTGCCTTGGAACTGACCTCCCGGCCTCAGGAGCCTCCTGCATCCTGTGTGAGGCAGGGGAGGATGCTGATGTCAAGATGCCCAATCTCCACAGAGCAGAAAGGGGACACAACAGGACTTGGGATGGAGTTTGTTGGTTGTTTTCTGGGAATGGTGCAAGGCCAGGACAGGGGTGAGCCTATCTTAGCCCCACTGCACCACTACCCAGGAGCCCCCAGAGGTAAGCAGTGCCCAGCTGGAGCCCATGCCCCAAACCCCACCCCAGTCATGAACCCCCTCTTGCACTCCAAGCACTTGTGCTAGCCGCGAGCACTCCTGCATACAAATACCCGTCCAGAGCCTGCATCTAGAACCCTCTTCCTGCAACCCAACTGCCTGCCCCATGCTCCTCTCACGCACCAATCCCTTAACCCAAGACCAGAGCCTGCACCCCAACCCTCTGCCCCAGCCTGAGGGAAGTGAGAGGATGGGGGGGAGGGAGGGAATATGGAGTTAGCAGGGGTGGGGCCTTAGAGAAGGGGCACAAAGGAGGCAGGGCAAAGGTATTGGATATTTGGATACGAGGAAGATCTTGGATTGCACTTAAACTAAAAAAGTGATCTTACGCTTAGGAAGGTTGGAGACCACTGCCCCAAGTCCTCACTTTACCAAGAGACAGCAAACCAAATTGATAAGCAGTTTGACAATTTCACTGCTACTCACAGGGTCTTGACTGCACCAAGAAAACAGACCAGTTTTCTTAGTCTCACCTGCTGCTGCTTGGGAAAAGTTATAGGTAGGTGTAGAGCCATCTGCAAACTCAAAATGTTAAACAACTTTTCATACATTACTTGCTTTCCTACCACCAACACTTACAAGTAGATCATCTTTTAATTACTAACTTACTACTCAGTATCAGGCAAGAAAAGCTGGTGTCACTAGCAAACCAATGGGTTGGTTAAGGAATCCAATGTCTATTTCATAGGCATGTCCCCTTTCCTGTAAACAGTCTAATTTTTAGCCACATAGGTACATGCATACTTCAAAGTAATTATCACTGAGGTGGAGAAGAATGCACTCCAATCCACAGTAGCAAAGAGTAAAAAAGTTATAATGTAAAAATCCAAGCAATGGAAAAAGAGAAAGGAGTTAGACCATGCCAGAGGAAACCTAATTAAATTTAAAAAAAAAACTATTTTAAGTGAAGCAGAAGTAAAAACTAAAAAAATTGACATAGGAGACAGGAAGAGAGACTAAGGGTTATCACTAGTTGGAAAATTTTCCCATCTGAAAATGCAGTTCCACTGAAATCAAGAATGTTTTAAATTGTATCAGTCTTGCCTAGCATGGATAAAAATTGATTTTTAGGGGAAAATAATAAGACATATATCTGATTTAAGTAAATTAAAAGCAGACCCCTAATTTCAAGTTACATTTCAAACTGACAAGCTAAGCCAAGGCCTAAAGTTATCAGTCTGTTAAAATCATTCCAAGTGTCAAGATTTTCATATAGCCTGTAACGTGCACTGACCGAAAGTCATTTATCCCATGTGAATTTGTTCTGACAAACATGACCTTTCAGTTTTGTACAGCTCATTGGCAACAGACAACTACTGGAAAGTTAGACACACATCCATCTACTCATGTAACCGTAAAGGCCCCCAACACGTGGTATTCATTGCCTTACTAGCTACCAAACCACGCCAGCCTCTCTTTTCTGAAGTGGTAATGAGCCTCTATTCTCTAGGCTCTCAACATTCTGCTAGAGTTCCACATCCGTACGCTTTTAAAAAAATATAAAGTCAATCCACAAGTGTGTATGTATTCAACAGCAAAGGTCATAGGACTGAAGTTTTGTTTTTATGGTTTGTGAAGTACTCCCTCAGTTGTTAAACATTTTACAGAAATCATTTTTAAAACTTTAAATTTAAAGACAACTTTTAAAAGACTGCAAGATGAACTGTCCCTTACATAAGCCTTAGAGATATGGCCGTACCAGAAATACCAAATCAAGGAGTAACAAAAACTGATCTTTATAGCTTGCCAAAGCCTTCCAAAAAAGCATAAATCTGAACAGCAAGAAATGCAGTTATGGTCCAATTTTAAAGAGCCACACTTAAAAGACTGGAAGCAGTTAATATCCCCAATCAATCTTACCCTCTGCTGTTGCAAGCCTGGCACTTTGTGCCAACACACACTGATGGCAAGTATGCCCTTATGGAAAAATCCTACCGCTATGTCACGTCTGATTTGCTCAGGAAATCTTATCCCCCATTCCTATACTTTGAAAGCTCACTTTCGGCTATGTTCGTCTTATGGCGCATCCACTTACGAAGCACAATACATGAAAGCCAAAGCGCCTGCAGCTGGAAGGGAGCTCATTTACTGCAAATAGTAAAGTGTTAAAGCAACTATAAAAATCAATCTGATGTGAGGGAAGCATGTTATTAAGGAAGCAAGATGGGATCTGGATACATAAAATTCTTGAATTTATGTGGCACATCCTACTTGAAATAAATCAGCTGGCTACTAAAGCATGCTGAAATATCTGAGTTTGCCCAATGCCACATGGCTCAGTTGCAACAGAATTAGGAACAGATCGTCTGGTTTCCCCATCCCCAGTGCACACCGCCTCAAAGAGGGTGAACTGGAGGCTGTTCTCTGGGTCTGTCAGCAGCACACGTGCTGGGAGTGGACATGATGCACATTCTAATCTCAACTATGGTTCGATATACTGTCACTAGGAAACTGAAAGAATATCAGCATATAATTATGATTAGAAGTGCATGAGGGAGGAGATTATGAGGAGACAATTAAGAAGTCTGGGTTTTGATTTAAGTTGCAACACCTTTTCCAACTACTCGTATTTTTAATTTAAACGCTGCAACATTCTATTAATATTCTACTACTATTTTCCCCTGACACTGCAGCAGGTTTACAACTTTTGCTCCATCTTTGCCTGAGGTTTTTGATAAATATACATATTTATCAACTCAGTTACACCTCTCTGCATGTTACCACAACATGGGTTGAAAACTACATGGACTCGTCCTATGGCTGCTCAAAAAAGCCAATCTTCAATAAGCCACTCATTCTGCCTAGGCAAGGTCCCTCAGAAGGAAGGCAGAAGGGAAATAAGCTGGAAGGGGACTAGAATGTATAGCAATGCAACAACAAACCGTTAAACCCAGGAAGATGTTTTGCAAGTGGGAGGGAGAAGGTCTTTTCCTCTAGGATTCCCCTGAAAGTATTTGTTGTGTCGAAATATTTTGAAATTCAGTAACTTTGCAGAAATGACAAGTACTTTTCAACACTAAATCTGTCCCAAGCTTATTTTGCGACTTCACAATCGTCTTCTTTGAAAAGGTTGTGTCTCTCTTCTGTGTGAAAGATGCAAACTGGGGAAGAATTTGAACAGTATCCAGAGTGCAGTCAGATACCCAAGATAAACTCCTAACTCCCATGAGAGATTTTTTCCTCTACATGTTCATATTATACTAGCCTTAACAGTCACAAGACTCGCCACTTAAAAAAAATTCAAAGACATGATTTAAGCTGAAAAGGACCCTTCAAGCCAGTATGAAATGTTTAGCCATAACTGTTCTAGGTAAAAATCTGTTATGAAAAAGCAGCTAGTGAAAACCATGAATTTAGTCTGACAAAGCTAGAGAACATGATTTGGAAAGGAAGACTGCTTCTCCATAAGAAGCGTCCCTTCATTACTACAGTCTGCCCAAGCAGACTAACAGAGCACCAGGAACAAGCAATGCAGATCACTACAGCTGAACTGCAGAGAACATCACACTGTGTGTTTAAGGTTCCTGTGAAGACTCTGGACAAGGGAGAAGAGCTGTTCTATACACCGCTCTCCTACCGTGAAAATTTTCCTTCTAGTTTTCCTAGCTTTGAACAGCTCCTTGAGCCACATGACCAGATCAAGCTAAGATCAAACCCAGATCAAACCCAGCCGTTTGTAAGGTCTGATAGGACCAGTGAGAAGGAGAGGTGATTCCAGAGTTCCAGCTAGAGACAGGCCAAAAGTTAAACTGATCTAGAAACTTGCTATACCCAGACCTTTGCCATGAGATCAGTTAGCATTGGAGAAATGTACAAGTTACATTTGTAGTTTTTCCACAGCCTATAATAGAAACAGAACTTACAATTAGGTGCAGCAGAAAACAGCATCCATCTCAGCACGTTTTCTGTAGCTGTTAAATTCTTATATATAATTTTGCAGTTTATCAGCCAACCACTTTGGATTATTAGGTGACAGTAAGCAAGCTACCCACAAAGAAAGTACAGTAAACTTCCGATAATCCGGCACCGTTAGGACCCAGGGGGTGCCGGATTATCAGATATGCCGGACTATCAGAAGGGGGGGCTATGAGATGTCTGGGTGGGGTGGGGGGATGCTACCCCAGACCCCCTGATAGCCCTTCCTTCTGATAGTCCGGCTCTGCCCCAGGAGCCCCTGATTCAGCCGCTGCTGGTCAGTTTCAGCAGCCGGCGGAAGGGGGGCGCCCG